CTATCTTTATTAGTCGATAATAAACGAGTTGGTAGGTACATTTTAACATCACATAATAAAAACTCTCACTGCTTACATAATAAAAGACTAATAAAGATAGTGACTAATAAAGATAGTACTTTCACTGCTTGATAATAAACGAGTTGGTAGGTACATTTTAACATCGATAATAAACGAGTTGGTAGGTACATTTTAACATCACATAATAAAAAAACAGTGAAAGTACTATCTTTATTAGTCTTTTATTATGTAATTGTAAAATGTACCTACCAACTAGCTTATTATCAACCCTGTCCACATATTACATCATATTGGGTAACTTTGTGTTTTTGCTTATTACAACACTCATTGTAGAGAACTTAAAAAAGATTGGGTTAAATCACTCATTTTCTGTGAAATGTGGGTTATAGTTAATGAGATTAAGTATAACAATAACAATATTTTTATTATTATGATCCCTTTAACCAACTAATTCATGATCCCACAAGCAGTTTAGGTGTATAAATAATTTATGAGGTAATGAGGTCCATATAGATCTGAAATCAGTGATTCAAGGGTCGATGAAACTATATATATAAAACAATTTCTAACCTTTGTTTTTATTTTTTTGTAGAACAAGAAACAAAACTTCTTGTCATTGGCTTGGGAGGAGGAGGATTGGTGTCATATATTCACAACAATTTCCCAAAGGTGAGATCTAATCTTTTGTTGTTGTTTCTTTGTATACATACCATTTTCCTATTGTAGGTTTGTAATATTTTAACTGTTACTGAAGTATGACAGATTTACCATAACATATAATCTCATTTTAATTTTATTATCAACTCGCATCTTGGATTTTTCAAGAGTGGCATCACACTGAAAGCTGAATATATCAATTGCTAAACTGGAACAAAAAAAATTCTTTAAATTGATAACTTAATGGAAATGCCCTCTAGTGGCACAGTGATATGTCTGTGGACTTGCATCTTTAGAAACTAGGTTTTGATACCCATGGTGGACAGAGCACAATTATTAAGTACATGTTTAATTTGTTGAAAATATTAAATCGCAGTAATATGTTTACCAGGAATACTCAATGTCATATTTATTTGCTTGTAATTTTAACAAAAAATTAACTGAAAACTGATTAGTGAACAAGGTTATTATAATAATAACCTGTAATCAGTTTGTTTTGTTAATCAACTTTTTTTTATAGATTGTAAATTAATGTTTTTCAAGTTTAAATAATAATATTTGCTGTAGTTAAATAAATAAATTAATATTATCATGGATACATGTAAACTTTGATTTCTTTATTTGATATATTTAACTATATAATTCTTTTCACCTACATTATGTTCTTCCATATTTTGTTACCTTGAGCTAATTATGTGTTATTGGCATTTCTATTGCCTAATGACACACCCCTCTTCATTTGGGATTGGTCAGCTTTCACAGCCATCTGGACAAATACTTCCTGCTCATTGGATTAATTTTTTTTCACCATATTTATTAAAACCACACTTTTTAACCTTTATTCTTTTTTACTCTTGAAGATTAGTCAATCATTTAAGTGTTCAAGTTGCTGAGATTTTTGAAATCTACTTGTCGGTTTCTCTTTGCTAAATCTTTCATTATGGTTAATTGTAAATGTGACCTTTCTGTGGATTTGTTGCATAATATTGTATAAATCCAATCGTCTTAAAATACTCGGAGGAACAGAAAATTATATATTAGCAATAATTTTTTCTGTTACTTTAAAAACTATTCCACTAAAAATGAGAATACTGATTCTCCTGATGTAAGTGAAAGGTTAAAGCAGGATTTTTCACTATTCTGTTAAGGTATCTAATTGTTTCTGTTCTAGATTTCATAAGATCACTTGATCAGAAGATATAACTTCATTTTCTGTTATATAATTTGTTGTTTTTTCAATTGTCTCTAGAAGAGAAACAACTAGGCATGGTTTTATTGATGCCTATAATTATTGGTTGAGCAGGCAAGCTTGGCTCAGTTATTAGTATGCCAGACTATGAATCCCAGATTCAATGGTTCATGCCTCGATTCTTTATTGGTGCGCCTCCCCCAAAGAAAAATCATGCTCTGTACTTTGGGGTCATGAATATAAGTGATGGTCAAATCCCACAATTTGATTAGAGTAGCTGTGGGTACTGTTAACTATCTGCCTTCCTTCTACTGTGTCACTTCAAAATTAGGTACAGCTAGTGCAGATTGCTTTCAAGCAAGTAGCTTTGCAAAAAATTTAACAAACTACAACCTTGTTGAAAAGTTTCTTAGGACACATGCCTACAGATTTGAATAACTTGTTTGCAGCTTGTTGTAAGAAATCATTTTATTATACCTTTATCTTTTCACGTGAGCTCAGTCCTTTAAGTTTTTCCATCACAAACAGTATGAAAGTGACTATTGGTTTTCTTTTGTGTTTATACTAGTTCCTTTGTTCTGTGGTCAGATTTAATAACATTTTTAAATTCAAAGCTGTGCATTGCAAGCTCTCCAACACTCTTCAGCCAGTATCCTGACTAAAGTAAAATCCTTCAGCTTTTAAATATAGAAGCACATGTCATGTTTTCTTCCCACCATTTCTGAAACTGTGCTATGGCTGAGGAGTTAACTATATACTCATATGTATGAAAAAAAGCCATTAGTATATAAAGTTTACTTTGACCTAAAGTAATGACTCGTAAAGCTAAGGACAGCATATTTCACATTCATCATATCAAGTAAAATATTTCTTTTCTCTGACTTTGGAAATATAAGGCCATTTTGGATATGAATTCTTCTTCTGTATCAATAATAAAGCTGATCTTACCTCTTGTTGTAGAAGGGCTTGTATATATTTTTTTAATATCAAAGGTCTCCAGTAGGCATGATACATTCTTTGTTGATGCTCTGATTCTTTCATATGTGTGAAAATATTTTGTTTAACAATGATATACAATTTTCACTTCAGTTAGTTGAAATGCTCAAAACGTATTTGTTTTGACAGCCCAATGAGTTTTGAGCATTTCAACTATCTGAAGTAAAAATTGTTTCAGTGGGTGATTAATATTACCCTTATTTTTCTCTTTGATAAATCACTAACATTTTAATTCATTGCAACCTTATTCATAAATATAAATAACGTATTTGAATATACAGTGATAGTGTAAGTTAAAGAATTTTTATATTTAAATAACATCACCAGGGGTATTTTTCTTTCATAGCATGTCATATTCTAGATTAAGTGGATGATCTGGAAAGCAATTTGTGGTGATAGAGGTGTGTTCAGGACATACAATGTTTCAGTTATTTTTCCCTGTGTATTCTTCCAGGTTACAGCACATGCTGGCTTGTTTGCCTGTTGTGATATATATTTATCATGTTAACTCTTTCAACATGGGCTCATTCCCTGGGACCAACCTCATAACCATTTTGTGCTTGTTATAGTTTTCATGGTATAACTTTTAAATTAGTAAGCGAACGTTAATGAAATTTGGCAGATTATCAGTAAACATTACAATGCTTTCATACGCAAAATATCAAATTTGTTTATTAAGTCTTAAGGTTTGAAAAGCAATGTTTAACTCATGTCTTTTTTTTCTTTTCGTATGTTGACTATCTATCATGCAAAGTAATATTAATTTTAAGATTAAAAACTTATATGCATCAGAAAATTTTGAAATTTCATATACGATATCTTTATAATGTCCAGATAGTTGTCAAATGTTTCTTGAGAAAAAAACTTTATATTTTATCTGTTATTTTCAGTAATTAATCTCTGAATGGGTTCAGTAGATTTGACTTCTCTCAACCACTATAAAAAATTAGGAAATGAATATAAATTATGCGTCTATCATTCTAGAATGAACACAGATTATAACACAAAAACATAAATATTTAGACTAAATAGCTTAAATCTCATAACATTATACATTTATATATATATTTATTATTTTTATTATATTGACATTTCAGGCATGCCTGGCTAACAATAAAGAAGATGCAATGATGCAGCTCACATGCTCTCATGTTACCTTATCAAATAACATAAAACTGACCTTTGGTCTGTACAAAGTAACTTGTCTTGGCAGTGTTTTATAAAATACAGTCACATTTCAATTACTATACATCATGTGTGTATATAGATTATTGCTATTTTGAAATAAACTCTTAAACTAATTTTTCTTAAAACATAGAACAGTAACTAAAGAAGTAAAGCAAACAATTAGCCCTTCCAGTTATGACCTTTGTACTCGGTTGCTGCTTGACATAGGTTGCTAAGTCTTTAAAAAATTTGCATGTGGAGTCCATGAAACAAAATAATTTTTTTAGGTTTTATATATACACATATGTATAACTAAAAAAATATAAATTACTACATTAATATCAGAGAATTCCACTATAATTTATCAAGCATAGTAACTAAGATGTATTTTAGTCTAAAAATATATGAAATTTCGAGCAGGCTAAAGACACACCCTACCTCGTTGAAATATTGATTCAAACGAAAGAAATGGTGCCAAGCCCATTACAATGGCTGAGAATGCCACTAGGTGGACATTCTGAGCTTCCAATTGGTTGTTTATGTCAGATATAGAAGTAAGTATATATAAGGCAGCGTTTTCAAGAATGGAAAATGGTATGCAAGGTGCCACTGTGTTTGTTTTATTACATGAGCAATATCTTAGCAAATTGAAAAGATAAGAAGCTCTTATTTTATATTCTAGTTTGTCAATACCAGTAATTTGAGTTTCTAATTCATATGAAACTATAGACTTAGTATTTTGACTTCACAAACATCTAATGTGAACCAGTAATGCATTCAACACACCACAGGACACACAAAAATCATTGTTTATCTGTGTTTTTTTATATTTGCTTTTAAATTAAGAAATTGAGTAATATATAGTACTAAGTTGAATTATGATCTACAGTTTGATACCAAAGTTATTGACATAAATTTATGAAATAGTAGTTCAATAAAATTTTGAATATGAGTCAACAAACGAGATGACATGGCCGTTCACCGGTGACCAATCTCGATAGGGTAAATTGGAACTTTTGTCTTTTTCCAATGGAATTATATCATTGAATTTTGTTGTGCCTATTTTGACTTACTACAGGTCCAATGTTTGTGATATGTCATGTTCATTGATGTATCATGATCTGGTTAACTATGCATATTAGATTTTTATTATGTAGAGAATGATGTGGTATCTCTCTTTAACCCTACTTCATCTGCAGTGAATACCATGCAAAGCCCATTTTCAAAATTTGATGGATATCTAAAATATAAAAGTATATCAATGTGTTTTTTGCATAAAACTTTTTAATCTCATTTAGACTAATTTGTATCAATTGCCTGCTGAAACTCAGCCTAGAGTAAAGTTTGTCACTGCCTTTATTTTTTAGGTTCAACGTTCACCTTCTAACACGTGTTTGCCTAATGACTGCTTATATGGAATGTTTTATCGGACTTTCCACAGAAATTTGCAATAAAATTATAAACAGGAAAATAATAACCTTTTTTTTTTACCTGGCCAAGGTGGGCATACAATGGCAGCAGCTGCAGGCACGTGCGTCTATAGGCTAGACTGGTTTTTACCACCCACCACTGAAGTCATCCTAGCTACAACCCTGGGCTGTACATATATAAAAATACACAAAAAAAAGCACACACATATAGACTTACAAAGAAAGAAAATCTGCTCAAAACAGCCCATTTGTAATTATTATTCTTATTTTCTTGCCAACCTACAACAAAAATAACTTGGTATATTGCACCCAAACCTTTTGTAGATTATTAAATAAGGTGCTGCAATGGTCATTGGAGATTGAAAAGTCGATTTGTTCCTTCTATATTTGACATAAGCTAAAACATCATAATTCTAGTTTAAACAATGTTATTATTACCTCTTGAAGTTAGCTTTCTTACATATATCTGTTGTTCCTTTAAATATGCTTAAGTTTCAGCTAGCTACTAGCTATGTTTATTGTCATTACAATGTATTAAGTTAGCTACCATATCAAGTAATCTTTTGCCCACAGTTGAGCATAAAAAAAGCCAGAAAACAAGATGAATAAAAAATTGGGAATTTAAAAACCTGCAAACAGGGATTGTAAAAAAATAAGTAATCAAACAAGGCTGGATGTACTGCAGACATTATTTACTCAAACTACAAATCCCTTTTTTGATTCCACCAGATGTAATTCTAGGTAACAGCATGGAGCCAAAATAGGGGTTTGTAGTTTGAATAAATAATGTATACGGTATCTCCAGCCTTGATTGCTTACTTTTTTTATGATCCCTATTTGCAGGTTTTTAAATTATCAGTTTTTTATTTATCTTGTATAAAAGTGTTATTCATTTTCACTGAATCAATTTTTGTTATGTGATTATTTATGATGTATAAAAAGTTATTGCAAGAGAAGGTCTTTTTTCTCTTCTATATGTTGTTTTAATATTAAGAATAAAGATTAAATGAACAATTATTTGGAATATTGGAATTAAAGTTACTTCAAGTACTCATGATGAAGCCAAACTTCTGTGCATTTTAGCTTTTTCTGTGCATCTTGAGTTCTAATTTCAGTTTGTGTATTTTTTTTAGATAATTGATCATTTATTACTGAAAATCTACTGCCCTACTAACTAACCAAATAATAAACATTGTAACACAGTTCAGAAAAGATGGTGCATCTCCCTTAACATTTCTCACAAAATTTTGTTTCCTAGTTTTATTATGTATATATTTGTGCTAAAACATAATAATGCCCATATAAATATTCCATTAAGATAATAATCATTATGGCAAATTTCACAGAGATGTATAATTGTAATATAACACAATAATGCCCACTGTAAACATTCCATCCAGATAATATCCATTATGATAGAATTCATAGAGATTTATTTGTGGTGAGACATAATAATTCACAAAGTAGAACATACTGTCAAGATAGTTCTCATTATGATAGCTTTCAAGCTTAAACCTATCTTGACGAGTCACGTGTCAGAGGCCATGTCATCACGTTTGTTGACTTGCATTCAAAATTTTATTGAACTACAATTTTATGAATCTATGTCAATAATTTGGGTATCAAATTGCAAGATTATAATTGAAATGTTAGTGTTATACATTAGTTAATTTCTTACTTTAAAAGTAAATATTAAAATAACACAGCTAAACATCGATTTTTGTGTATCACATGTTATGTTGAATGCAGCACTGGTTCAAATCACTGTTTGTGATGTCAAAATACAAAATATACAGTTTTGTATGAATTAGGAACTCAAACTACCAATATTGTCAAGCTAGAATAAAAAATAAGAACGTCTTATTTTTTCTATTTTCTAAGACATCGCTCCTCTACTGAATCGAACACAGTGCCCTCCACCTCTTTCCATTTTTGGAAATGGTCCCTTATATACTCTTACTTCTATATATGACAT